CAAAACGTGATGTTACTGCCTATATTTCACATGAAGCAGCTTGATCGTTGGTGTCCTGACGTCATCTCGAGGCGTTTGTTGGCCGGAACCAATTATCGCCGATAAAGGTCCACCCGACCTTAGTTGCCGTGCACACTTACCGGCGCGCGTTAAAAGACACGTTTTGGAAGCTCTGCGGAGCCATTTTTGGAAGAAGACGATCGTGCCAAGAACCGACCGTGAGAGGCAAGACGACGACGGGCAGGATTTCGGCGAAGGTTAGCCCCTTATGGGTGCGAGCCCACGAGCTTTGTGTGTATTTTATGTTCAACCAATTGTCTTTTCTTTTGCTTTGGAATGCTGTTCACTACTTGTTCCATTTTGGTCAAATGAGCCCAATGAGCCGGCGACTGGTCAACGTCAAGTACTCGAAAGAGATCTTTACCGCGGAATGAAAAGAGCCCAAAAGCGTCAGAGCAGGTGCGTTTCCTAAAGCGTCTGTTTCGATGAGTGCCGGTTCCCCAAAAGCCGCCACGCAAATGAGCAAGTGGGCTCCGGCTCCCCTCAACGACTCAAAAGTCCGCCGCCGCCGCCTGCTCAACTTCCCTTCTAATTTCCCAGCAAAAGCGACGCACGTGCAAGTGCGGTGGTCGTGTCAGCGGGGGCGACTGGCCCGTCCAAAGTCCGCGAGGAAGCAGGGAAATTAGCTTAGCGTTGCCACAAGCGCGTGACCTATTCATATCTCTGCCTGTTTTTTATTCAGTCGTTAATGGTGCACACATCCCTCGACCATGCTATTTTTGGTGAAGTCTGCTTTTTTTGGGGGGGGGGGGGGTACCTATGGCATCAAATCGTAACGGAAGTGAAAAGAGGAAGCACTAACAATTGTGGCTCATGAATGTGCCACCAAGTAGTTTGGGTCAACTTCCAAACTTTTTTTTTTCCATTTAGTTACGCTTTGTAGTCTGACCTTAGGCTACCCCCCCCCCCCAAAAAAAGGTACAAAACGACGAGCCCTTGCGCAAATCAGGAGCTTGAGATGGAGCTTCCACTCCGTGTGCGGTCTTCTCCTCTTGGTCGACGCCCCGAATGGCCCCGCGTGAGCCCTGTCGAGAAAAGCCGACTCGCGGCGGGGGCGCTTCCGGTCATGTGGTCGCCGAATCACGGTGCGAGCATCACGCGCCCATGGCGAATGCAGTGACTCAGACCTGAAAACAGGAAAAACGCGCACGCGACGTCCACCGCGTTTTGTCCGTGTTTCCGGAAATCAAAGGCATTTCTCCTACGCGTCGCCCCCTTGTCGCCGCGCCGACACGTGACCGCCGCCGCCGTCGCCAAGTGCTGAGTGCCCACATCGCAGACAGGAAGCCGACGGCGGTTGCTGTGAGGATACAACTCACCCCTATGCGCCCCCCAGACGGCAGCTCGCTCACCTCGGGGTTCTTCTTGCGGTCGATGTAGTGGTTGACGGCGGGCTGGAAGTATTTGGCGTAGCCCTCGTTCAGGCTGTAGATCTTCCCCCTGGGCTTGATCCGCACGTTCCTCTCGGTCAGGATGAACTCGCCGATGGCCTGGCCAGCGGCCGCACCGGGAAGAAACAAAAGCAAACGATATACCGGCGTTTTGTTGCCCGAACGTAGTCACGCGCCGGAGCGCCGGCACTCGACTTTGCTCCGAGCGCGACTCTTTTTGTTCACGACTCACCGGATCCAACGTGAAAAAGTTGAGGCCGGCGCCGGTGCTGAGGGCCACCAGGGTGGCGCTGCCGTAGAGGGCGTAGCCGGCGCACACCATGTCGCGGCCCGGCTGGAGGGCGTCCTCCTCGGTGGGCTCGCCCTCGCTCACCTGCGCGGACACGACAATCCAAAGGTGTGCTCCGCCCCGCTTTGCCAGTCCAAATTCACCTCGGGCGCTACTCCCGCGTGACGTCGCCCCCTCAAGTGTTTGCGGCATCGGCCCGTTCATGCCTTTTGGTATTCACGCCTTACGTTTGAAACGCTGCGCTCGCCTCGCTCCTTGATGAGCAAAACTGCTCCTCCAAGAAAAAAAAAAAAAAAGCTGGCGTTGAGCCTGACTTGTATGAAAGGCTGTTTGCCTTTTTTGGAAAGCTTACTCACTGCAGGGGTGTCCAAAGTGGGTCCTGGCGGGCCGCTGTCCGGCCCGTTTTCGAGCTCTCCCGGGAGCAACACGCCTGATTCAAATCATTAGGATGGTTTTCATGCTGCTTGAGAGCCGGCTGAGGAGCCGATCATCTGAATCGGGTGTGTTGCAGGAAGGAGAGCTGAAAACGGGCAGGACAAGTGTGTGGCCCCTCCAGGCCCGGAGCTGGAAAAGCCTGCTGGCTGAAAGCAATTAATCGCCTTTACCCGCTACAACATGGCGCCCTCTTTAGGCCGCAAGGCGCTACTACAAATGTCAAAAAACCAAAAACCAGCAGCACAGAGGCCTTGACGGACGGCTGGCTGACGGATTGACGACGAGATGAGGGAAAGATGCGAGCTCGATCGATGGCATCTTGAGATGAACCGACAAAAAAAAAAATTGTCCATGTCGGCGGACGTGTGAATGAAGAACCGGTGGAGGGAACGGAAGGTGAGCTGGCGAGAGACTCACTCGTTTGTAGACGGCAAAGATGGTGCCGATGGAGGCCAGGCAGTCGATGTTGCTGGAGCCGTCCAGAGGGTCAAAACACACCACGTACTTCCCCTGGAACCAAGCCCGACGTACGGATGAGACGTAGCGTTAGCGTGCGCGCGCGTGGTCGACGTCGCGTTTGGATTTTGCGCGCTGACCCTCTTGTCTTGGGGCGTGACGATGAGGCCCTCGTTCTCCTCGGAGACCATGCAGCAGGTGCCGTAGGAGGCCTTCAACATGTTGAGCAGCAGCTCGTTGGACAGCACGTCCAGCTTCTTCACGTCGTCGCCGGTCACGTTCACGCGGCCCGCCAGGCCCTGTCTGCGCCCATCGCAAAATTGAGCCGTCCGCGGCGAACTTCGACCCCGCGCTGGATAAACTCACTTCAAGCGTTCAACGTCAAAGTATCGTTGCGGGAACACGAAAGTCTTCTTGTTTTGTTTTTTTGTTTTTTTTGTAATTTCAGAATACACGCTTGAGCCCCTCACCTTTGCTGCTTGGCAGTCGCAAATTCAAATATTCGCAGGCTTCACCATTCTTCGCTGTTTGATTACCCCCCCTCTCAAGTTTCTCTTTTTCGCTCGAGCCAAAACAAGAAAGGGATTGTCAAAGTTTTCCATTGCCGCCATCTTGCGGCCTCCCAGAGAGCCGAGCGGATGCGGAAGAGGCGGTCGCCAAGACTCATGTCCCGCTTTGTGCTGATTGCAATTCGATGAGATGGCGGCTGTGCGTGTGCTTTTCTTTTTTTGTGAACACGTTAGCAGAGAGCTATGCAAATTGCGCCCCCCCCCCCAACCAATTGTCAAATAGTTTCTTCCACTTTGCACTTTGTATATTCTGTCTGGAGTTCAGATATCAGCACTAAGGGACCCCAAAATAATGATTTATTTTTTTAAAATTCATTGCACATGCATTTTAATGAATGGGCCGATTCATTGGTTATGAGTTTTAATTGACAAACTGTCCACGTCAGTCACCCCCCCATCCCCAAATAAATAAATAAATCGCTATCCGTCTGCTCCTCATAACCGCTTTCCATTTTGCTCACGCGAAGATGAGTCTTTCCTTTGGAAAAATGGCATTTGACTCTTTCTCCCGGTTTTCGAGAAGACGCGCGGTGGCCTTCGGGGGCGGACGAGGAAGAGGAGCTACTCACAAGTGGGCCAGGCCGGCCCTGCGCACGGCCGAGGAGATGGCCTTGATGGCGGTCATCACGGCGTTGAGCAGCTGCGTCAGCTCGCCCGTGGCCCCCTTGGCCTGCCGGCCCGTCTCCGTCACAAAGCGGGTCAGCGTCCACACGTCCACGTCAAAGGTCGACGGGTCCGCCATGCCGCTTCCCGCTGAGGGTCGCCGTCCCGACTCGGCCCGAGGGAAGAAGCGAAGTGAGGCCGCTCGTTTCGGGGGGAGCTATTTGTGTGCGCGCGGTGTCGGGTGTCGGCTGCGATCGCTCGCTGCTCGCCGCGCCGTGAAAAAGCTTGGCGAGTTCATCTTTTGTCAAGTGCTTTCGTGGACCGATCCCAAAATGATCGGCATCCTGTCAAAAGCAAGCGGCGCGTTTCCCCGCGGAGATCCCGCACGAGGGCCACGAACGGCGCGTTTATCCGCCGACGCCGTTGACGCAGAACCCAGCCAAGGCGGCACGTCGTGCGGGGTGTTGCGCCCTCTCCCATTTTGGGACTTCCTTTGACCCCATTCCGGAGTTGAGGTCACATTGGCGGTGTCCGAGATCCTGCAGGTGGATTTTCCACAGCGAGCGGCAAAGGAGGCAGGCTGTCCGGGTCGTTAGACTTCACACGCCCGAGCGTCTTTCACGCAGAGATGCCAGCCTTCAGAATGGCGACATTTATGCCCTTTGGACTTTGACGCAGATCGCGGCTCGCTGTTCAATTTCCCGTCGGCCTTTTGCAGCATCCCCCGCAGCTCCTTTTGAATTGAAGCATGAAGCCCTGGCGCAAATGTGACACCTAAGCCGGCAAAATGCGGGATGCCGCCGCATCCGTTCGCCTCCGAGCAGCAATGCGGCAGCAAGTCGGATCCCATCTTAGCTTTTAAACACGGAGATCCGGCAAACAGAAAACAAAAGAGGAGAGAGAAAGCTCTCTGGGAAGGACGAGTTCGCAGGGGCCGCCTGAAAGGTCAGCGTAACCGGAGCACAGCCGCACCGCTTGAGGCCGAGCGCGAGCCGCGCCAGAAGGGCGACGGCGAGGACGGAAGCGGCTTGCGACGTCAGGTGCTTGCGTTTTGTTTTGTTTGACATTATGAAGCATCGCAAAGAGCTTCGCTCAAGTTTTGGTCCTTCACGTGTATGTCGCTTGTGTGCGTTGTCACGGAGACACAAGGGAGGGCGGGGTGAAGTGAGAAGCATTTTTATTGGCGGGCCGCACCGGTCTCGGCCCGGTCCTTTCACGACACGGACGACGAAAGCGGGCGCTCTTCTTCCCCGAACGGGGTCACTTTGCCGATGCGGCGTGCTTGCGGCAGACGGCCACGTAGTCGGCCACGTCGTCGGGGGAGCCCATGGCCACCGGCGCCCTCTGATGGATGCTGTGGGGCCGGATGTCCAGGATGTCCTCGGAGCCGGTGGAGGCGGCGCCCCCGGCCTGCTCCATGATGAAGGCCATCGGGTTGCCCTCGTAGAGCAGACGCAGCTTGCGGGGGGAGAAGGCCGCCCGTTAATTTAATATCATCGCGCAGCGCAGCTTTGACATCACCCCACACGCCCCAAACTGGCAAAAAGAAAAAGATGCCCTATTGGCAAACGCCGCCTTTGAGGCGGTCACGCAGCCGCGGCGGCGGTGGCGGCAATAAAGCTTCCGGTGAACATCAAATTCAAAAAAGAAGCCAATGTGTTGAAAACTGCTCCACTGGGTTGACACTATTACGATGCCTCCGTTTGGTAGCTCTCTGTGGAAAAATCAACTCTTTGGACGTTTGAAGTCACAGATGCATTGTGCTTTTGCCGAATTCCACGTAAAAGGCGAAGGCAGACGATGCTCGAGTCGGGAGGCGCATCAGCAATGATCCCACCTTTGCCGCTTTCTGTATAAAATAGGCGAAAATGGCTTTTTGTTGTTTGGCAGGATTGCCGCGTGAAAATTTGCAGGGCTGACCTTCCCGCGAGACTTTGGATAACGTGAGCTTTGGACCCGGAGGGGTGAAAGAGGACGCGACTGGTAAAGGCGGCGTCGCTGTCGCCAGAGCTCACCTTTCCCTCGGGGCTCTTTGCGTTGCCAGGATACATGAAGATGCCGCCGTACATGAGCGTCCGGTGCACGTCGGCCACCATGGAGCCCACGTAGCGGGCGTTGTAGGGCTCGCTGCCGTCCTGCGGTGAGTCGGCCATTAGCTAGTTAGTTAGCATTAGCCGCCGGCTAGTCAAGAGCGAGATGTCACTTTGGCGGTGCCTTGCGATACCGCTTGAATATCTCCCCCGACCGCGTTTGTCATTCAAAAGGCTCCGGTCAGCGTTTCCTGACGGAACGGACGGAAATTTGAAAGGAAACGAGGCCTCTCGATGACGAATGGACTGTCCAAATGATTGTGGCAAACCGCCTTCCCGGAGCAGCTTTGCCCGACGGCGATCGGCAACGTTACCCGAGGAAACTTCTTCTGCTGCAAATACTCTGTGACGGCCGGCTCAAAGTATTTGGCGTAGCCTTCGTTCAAGCTGTAGATCTTGCCCCGCTTTTTGATCTTCACGTCGCGGTCCACCAGGATGAATTCGCCGATGGCCTGCGGAGCACAAAGCGTGCAAATCATTTCTTTACATTCCGAGGGCCGGTCAAGAGGCCAGCGGCGGTGTTTTGGACCGACTGGAATGGAGGATGGGCTGACTCCAAATGGCAGAGATGCCACCAAGGCCCGAATTAGACGGAGAACGTACTGACCGGGTCGAGCATGAAGCAGTTGACGCCGTGTCCCGTGGAGAGCACCATCATGGTGGCGCTGCCGTAGAGGGCGTAGCCCGCCGCCACCAGGTTCCTGCCGGGCTGCAGGGCGTCCTCCTCGCAAGGCTCGCCGTCCTCCGAGGCCTGCGGGACGAGACCGCGGACGCTGGTGGGTGGGCGGACTCGGGAGCGCGTCTCGGAGCGGCGCGGCGCGGCGGCTCCTCGGCCCGGCCGCTTCGGCCGGCACCTTCTTGTAGATGGCGAAGATGGTTCCGATGGAGACCAGGCAGTCGATGTTGGACGAGCCATCCAGCGGGTCGAAACACACGATGTACTTGCCCTGAGGGGAGGACGTGGTGGCTCAGCCCCGGCGGTCAAACGGCGCCCGCGTTGTTTCGCGCGCGCCTACCCTGGTGTCGGGCTCCACGATGATGGCTTTGTCGTTCTCCTCGGACACCAGCACGCAGGAGGTGAAGGACGATTTGATCATGTTGATGACCAGGTCGTTGGACAGGATGTCCAGCTTCTTCACCTGGTCGCCCGTCACGTTGGTGCTGCCCGCGATGCCGAAGCTGAGAACGACACGCCGCGCGGGACGGGACAGAGCGTCAAGGTGCAAAAGGGGCCGCTTGCCGCTCGGGGGGGGTTCAGCCCAAACGCACCATCTTTTTTTTTTTTTTTTTTGGGGCGCTTTGACGACTGGAAACAAGGAAAGCCAATTGGAAATTCCTTTCCACTGAATTTGTATTCTTTTGAAATCAAATACTGCTACTCTGGGGCAAAATATGAATTTGCACATTACTGTTTTCTGTTTGTCCGGTGACATTTCCGCATCTGTCCAAGTGATTTTGTTTTTTTTCAACCAATACTTTGTTGTCAAGAGTCAACATTTCGAGGGCTACTTTTTCCTTTCACTTGAGTCGGAGCAGTAATCGAACCCTGAAGTACTTTTTGGCGACGTACGCAACTGACATTTTTCTGGCAGACTATTTTCATCCAATCCAAACGGTGAAGGGGCTGTCACTTGTCTACCTCTGCTCTTCAGGGCGCTTCACACCTCACTCACCGACGGATGACCCAGCATCAGGAACAAGGACTCTGTATCTTGCTCAACGGCCGGGCGTTGAACCGCCACTCTCTGTGTCGGGAAACGACCGCTGAGACCTTCAGCCCCGCCCGCAGTGTTCCGACCCGACCACAAGGCCACCCGTTTCCTCCTCATCGTGCGACTCGTTCCATTTTGACACGCTCAACAATGTAGTTCCCCTTTGATGACGTTTCCCCTTTTCTGCGGCTCCCTCCGCTATTTGTCAATTCTGCGGCAGCGTTTGCGCACCTTCCCGCGAACACCTTAGAAATGGGGAACTGATCACTATCAAACCAGATTTGACAACGGAGCCCGTTGACGGGATGACCGGTGTGTGTGTGTGTGTGTGTGTGTGGGGGGGGGGGGCTGGGCGTGGCCTCAGGTATGCGTTTCCTGATTGGTTCGAGCCAAACCAGAATCTCCTGCTTGGTCTGTGCCGACGTGGATGTTCCGTACGGAGTCTAAAACGCCTGATCGATGATGACCAATAATTCCTAAATAAATAAATTAAGAAAGAATGTTGGAGCCGGTGTGGGCGTCCACTTACAGGTGAGCGATGCCGGCTTTGCGGACGGCGCTGGAGATGGCCTTGACGGCCGTGCACAGCGCGTTGAGCAGCCGCGTGAGCTCGCCGGTACCTTTGGCCCGCCGGCCCTCCTCCATGACGAAGCGGGTCACGGTCACCACGTTGGTGTCGAAGGTTCCTCGGTCGGACATGATTGACACCCCGCCAAAAAAAAAAGTTGTCGTCGTCCAGAGGAGGAAGTGCCGCGAGGCTTAAATGCAACTCTGACGCGTCCGCGGCGGGCCAATCGGAGAGAAGAGAGGAGACGGGGGGGCGGGGCCTCCGGGGCCAAACACAGCTTGGCTTTGTGGCAACTTTGGAGGCGATAAGATGGAGTGTGAGCTCCACAATGCAGCGTGACTGCGCACTCAAGTTGGCAAGGAGCACGTTTGATTATGACGACACACAAACTAGTTATTGCTCCAGCTTTTGTTCGAATCGCAGGCATTGAACCTCGTTCAGTATGTCACAATTTCACCCCCCCCACACACACACACACACCTACCTAGACCAGCGGTCAGTTTGTACGCGTGGGTGTTATTTTCCAACTTAGAACGAAAGTACTGAAAATGGATTTTCTTCCAGATGCGATGTTAACGATTGAACAAAGGTGGTGGTGTTTAGGGGCTTTCCAGAAAATAGTTTTATTTTCCAACTTAGAACGAAAGTACTGAAAATGGCTTTTCTTCCAGATGCATGTTAACGATTGAACAAAGGTGGTGTTTAGGGGCTTTCCAGAAAAGCGTCGATACTGGACCGACGAGGATTCCGATGGCGCCAGCCAGATGCAAATTGTGGAGGGGTTCTTATTCTTGGGAGCAGCGCAACATCAATGCCAGTTTCAAGATCCCCTCGACAGCGTTTTGCATCGTGTTGGCATGAAGCTGGGGGGCTTTCGGAAGTCCTAGGAATGTGGTTTCGTTCAATACACGTTTTTTATTCACCTTCATATGTAGTGACAACACTGTGTTCTTGGCTTTGTTTGAGCGCCTTAACAGTTTCCACATGTCAAACAAGCCATTGTTGTTTGTGTTTGCGGAGCAAGACAGCCCAGTGAGTCGTTGACTCGCACGCAGACCTCACTTCAACCTTTGGCTCAAGTGTGATGCAAAATCCATTCCTCTTTTGCAAGTACACTTGATTTCAGGCTTAAATCCTTTTTTTAAACTTCGTTTTCAGTTCCGATCTGTCTTTTGGTCGCTGCTCGTAACCGGCAAACTAATTCAACACTTAGCGTGTGTTTTAAAGTGTATTTTTTCCACTGTAATGCCATCACACTTGTAGGGCAATCACATGATGCGACTGGGAGCGGTGTTGACAATTTGACCACAAATGTAACTGTCGATGGAGAGAGCGAGAGGTCACTCCTGAAGACCTTCTATGACTCTGTGGTGGCCTCAGCCATTCATGACGGCATCGTCTGCCGGTCAGGGAGCATCTCAGGCCGGGACAGAGAGAGACCGGAGCGACTGGTCAGGAGGGCCGGCTTTGTCCTGGACACTCTGGAGGAGGAGGCGGCAACGGGAGGATGCTAGCCAAGCTAAAAGCTATGATGGACAGACCCTCCCACGCCCTCCAGGCCCACCCTGACAGCACCCGGCAGCTCCCTTCAGCCAGAGACCGATCCACCCGCGCTGCAAGAAGGAGAGCTCTCGCCGCTGCTGTCAGGTTATTGAATAGGCAGACCTGAAAACCCGGGCTCACCCCCACTCAGCCATTTTATGATTTATATACTCCTTGTTCTTCTACTTCTCCCTTTCATTATTTTGCTGCTTTAAATTGGGACGTTCTCCATTGTGAGAAAAACAAAGGTTTTCTTATCTTAAAATATCGTCGAATTAGACAACGGTAAAATGTTCGCCAATCTGTGAAATATTGACTACCACTGACATTGATATGTATTTATATGTTGAAAATTCTTATACGCGCAATATTCGTGTCATATTAGGTTTTAAACTTCTGGTGATGTGCAAAATAGTTGGACTGCACATTGAAACTTGACTTGAATAAATAGTAGTAAAATAAAAACTAAAATACTAATTTTGGATGAAAATGTCATGTGATATTTCACAATGCTCCATTTGAGTGAATAATGATCACAAAAGGTCCGTGTAAAAATTACACTTATGGGATAGTGTTAAAAACTACAAAGGACCTCAAAACGTCGGCCATGTTATATGTGCTATCGCCACAAGATGGCAACCTCTGATCGTTCTGTTCTGTATAGCAACGACATGCACGGTACAACACTGACAACATCGAATATTTGTACATTTACACCCTCTCCCCACCAAAGTACATTGTCTCTAGTTATCTGAGTTATGGTCGTCATCTTTATCGAGGGCATAGGGGAAAAAAACTTGTCAAAAATACGAACCAGTACATTTGTTTAGCTATATCAATGCGCCTGGCTGTCCTTCTCAAGCCACTGAGCGAACTAGGTTATTTGGCGGAGGGGAATCAATTGCTACTCATGAACTGTGTGGGTGGGCAGAAGTAACAAAGTTTAATTGAACACTAAGTATTTAATATTTGGTCTTACAAATTGCGTTCCATATTAATATGAGAAAAAAAAGTTTGCTTGGTTCAGATAATTAAAAGTTGAGACTTTAATTACTCCGTGTACCCTGATTCTCTTCTTCTGTGGTTTAATTGGTGGTCGCTTTTAATGGCGTCGTTTTCTTTGCTGTAGTTTAATGTTTGAAAAGTCTTATACTGCTGAATTACGAAGGATAAAACAGGCGAGTTTAGGCACAGGTAACCAGGTTACCTGTGTCAAATAGGTGTACTGTAATAGGTTACCGTAACCTATTACAGTACACCTATTTGACCTTCGTGCTAGCATAAAGTTTGGAACCGCAGTGCGCATGCGCGTAGCCCTTCCACAAGTTGCTGCTCTCACACAAGCAAGCAAGCCAGCCAGCCAGCCAGCCAAGTGGACCAGTACAAAAAGAAGACTGAACGTCGCACGCGGGACCTGCCCGCGCTTCTGCGGAGTTTTACAAGTGGACGCGGTGGAGTTTGAAAGTTTTACTGGACCGGCGGAGCCTTTCTTCGACCCAGACGAGATCGAGCGGGGGCACCGCCGGTGTTGCGTTCAGGTTCCAGTCAGGCATCGTGAGCGAGGACACCTTGCATCGGGTAAGCCTCTATTCGGCTGTGTTCTCGTCCATTCGAACCATTTGCGTGGCTTCGCGTACCGTGGGACGGGTGCCTTTTAGCGGTCGGACGAGACAATCCAATGAAGCGCCGCCGCTTAACCGGGATTACGTCGAAAGTTTGACTGCTGCGTTGACGCGCTCGGCGTTGGCAGCTTGGCCTTCGAGCCCCGTGGGGAAAAAAAGGACCCTTCGCAAGCAGCCACTAAAATGAAACGCACTTCCATCCAATGCCCTTTCGCGTTCCTCCCACGTTGGCCGTGGACGTGGAACCGTGCAGCGGCCGAGATAGCCGCAAAGTGTCAACGTGAGGCGGAAAAAAAATGGAGCGCGGCGCTGCACTTGGCTTGCTTTGATGAGTACCACGACCCCAGTGAGTGAAGCGCGCCGTTCTTTGGATCTTGGACTTCATTTTACTCCTCACTTTAATATCGACCTCCAGCTCAAGATTTCGGTCCATAGAATAGCGATTGGCATTGTTGTCAACTGTCTGTGTCACTTGTCAGGAAAACGTTGGTTAAATGCGCCCATTTCTCCTCCTTGTATGCCACACTTGTGCAAGAACGACTCCCGAGGGGGGTTAAAAGATGTCTCTTCTCGTGATTGATGTTTTTCCTCACCTGCATCCACGCACTTCGGTGTGCGTGGGTCATTTTGAGCTTTTTTTTTTTTTTTTTAAACTCCTCAGTCTTTGGAGAACACAGGTGTCAAACTCCGGTCCTCGAGTGCCGGTGGCTTGCATGTTTTCCATGTCTCCCTGCTGCAGCACACCTGATTAAAGTGATCAGGATCTGCCCGACAGAGCTTGCTGATGAGCTGATCCTTTGGATCAGGTGCATTGTGGCAGGGAGAAATGGAAAACATTTTAACTGCCCTTTTCACCGCGTCTCCAAATTGGGAGGAAGCGGATGCTCGGCATTCATTCGGGCCTCCTGCCGTTGCTCGGACACGCCGCTCCACCTTTTCCTTGAACCCCTTAAGTTCAGGCGCCGGTGTTCCCTTTTGTGTCCGAGAAGAGCTCGAAGCCTCCCTCTGGGTTTCTGACGGACTCCGCCCCCTGCCCCCCCACTCTTAAAGAGCAGACCCCAAGGCTTCTTGGCTCTTCTTGCGGAGCGAAGCCCTGAATTCAACTGTCGAGGGGCGCGTTGTGATGGTAGTTTAATGACATTCTTTGCCCGCCGGTGTTTTTCCTTCCATCCCAAAGTAGACGGGCGGGGGGCATTCCACTTTGGCTCCCTTCATCAGCGGTGAAACCAACTCGCCGTTTGTCATGCGCCGAACAAAGCGGACACGAGCGGCACTTTGCCCGGTCCCGATGTTAGGACGCTACAAAAACACGGACTGGTTGGCCAGAGGCCAAGCTGCACCGTTTGTGTGTTGACCGAGTCAACTTTTGGGCGAGAGTTTTTGTTCCAACTAGCGGAAGCAAAAATGAGCGACGTGAGCCGCGTAGCGTGGCCGTGAAGCTCAGTCGCTTCACGCCAAGCGGCAGTTTGGCGGCCGGCGAGCGATGCTCCCCTTATTATCCTCGACGTAGAACGACCGCGATTTACCGAGAAGACCGTCGTTCCGAAGCGCAAGGAAGGCGCTCGCTAGGGTGATTGGACTCTTCCCATTGGGCGTTTGAGCCGCATTCCCTCGAAAAGTCCGTTGAAAAATGTCCTTTTATTTGCCACTTGGGGGCTGAAAATATTTCGGCGGCCATTGGGGAAGCCACATCGGGATGAATTTGTGGATGAGGAGGTGTTAATTGCCGAGCTTGTTTTTCCCGCTGGGGGCCTCGGCTGCGTCGGAAGCTTTTAGGAAGCGGCGCCGTCGTGCTTCCGTTGACTTGGCGGGCCGGTCTCGTCTCAACGCGAGATTGGCGCTAAAGCTGCGCGTACGCGGCACGAGCGGGGGCCGCCCGGACGCATTGGGTCGGCTTAGCCTGTCGGGCAGCACCTTGGCCTCTGTGTACTCATGGCAAAGGTCCCTCAGTTCTCACCGTGGTGACACGGCCCCTCTGTCCACAGGATGAAAGCTGACCCCCCCCTCCGCCCCTTTGGATGACGCCCCCCCCCCCGCCCCAGTTTTCGGTGCCATTCGGGTCTTTGCTCTGGGAAAAGGACTCGCGCCGCCGCTCGTCCAAATCTTTCCTCCCTGGCCTCGACCGTGTTTATTTGGTGGTGGCGCTCACTTGTAATTTTACTCTTGGCCGCACCTCTGCGCATACTTTGGACGCTCAAAATAAACGCCAAGCGAGCTCGGCGTTGACTCCAAGTGACGAATTTGTACGTGTATTCGGCGCAGGAATGTCTTTTTTTTTTTTTTTGACGGCTCCTCCTTGAACATTCTCGCCGGTTTCTGCGGCGGGGTGCGCGGAGCTCCGCGACTGGCCTGTAATTAGCCAAAGCAGCGCGCCAAGCAGCGCGCCTCAGTCCAGCTCAACACAATACCGCTTGGAACGGCTGAAATGTGCTCCAAAAAAGCATCCTTGGGTCCCTTCCTTGGTTTTTAGGTCACCGTCACACTCGTACACTTCGAACAGCTGTGGAGTCCTTTTCTTGTTGGGAGAAAGTACCGTGTCAAAATCACAGCCAAGTCATTTTGGTTTAAATGCGATGGCGTCCGTCCCACGAAGTGCAGTTCAGCTGCTTTCGTCTTTTTAGGAAAGTGCAAAATATTTTGAGTTGTAGCCGCTAAAATGAATCCATCATCCGTGTTCATTCAAGATCTGTTCAAATGACACGAGGGAGAGAGCGTGGGGGGGGGGGGGCCAAACTTGCGTTTTCTTTCCCTTGCGGTTGGACGAACACTCCGGGAAAGCCCAAAAGTGTGTTTCCCGAGGACGCCTTGTTTCCTGGAACGTTCATGGCTTTCTTTTCACTCACTCGTCATGTGCTTTGTCAGGGATCGTTGATGAGCATCGTGGCAGATGTGTTTTTTTCTTCTGGCGACCTTGACCGTAGCGGACGACTTCGGCACTCAAGTTGTCCGGTTCAGCAGATGCTCAAAGTTGTCGGAGGAGGAGCTGCTCCCTCCCGATTTGTTTATTTAGCTTTTTTTCAAGGCAGGCAGTGGCTTCCGTTGAGATTTTGATCAAGCCCTCAGCTATGCGGGCGGGCGTGCGCAGACATTGCCCGGCAAGTGGAGGCATTCCTCAAAGGCGCCGCCTTCCTGCATTTAGCCACGGCAAAGATGTTATTCATTTGGCAAACGGGAACAACGTGGAAGTTGGCTCGGCCATCTTGTTTCCCACCGTAAGTAGAGCAAAGACGTCCGCCGGCACGGGCCCGTCTTGTCTCCAGGCCCGCAGATGGCAGTAAGGTACGTCGCCGGACTGGCTCCTCCCTCCTTGGGCTGGCATTTGGCCGGACCCGAACAAATTCCCCGTCTGCAAATCTTTTCATCCGGGCGGCGTTCCGTGTCATCCCGCTGTCTTTTTGGCCGTCTTTCCGTTTGGTTGCTGTCGGGGACCAGATGGGGAGAAGAAGCAAAACGTTTTTCATTGCTTGGAATGTCGGAGAAGACCACCAACATGGCCCTCCGAAACCCTTGGCAACCGTTTGCAGCTGCCGCGGGGGCTTGCCCACGCACCATTGGTGGTTTCTCTCTAATGAGTGGGTCCAAAAAGAGGGGCGGTTTTCCGGCTCCTCGCGTCGGAAGTCTCGTCGGCGTCGGCCGTTTGCGTTTCTTCCCGAAAAGGTTTGCCTGCCGGGGGCGGAGGGCGGGGCCTTTCGCAGAGGCCGCTCAATTATTTCCTCTTGCCGTCGCCAGCACTTTGTTGCCCGTGCAGATTAGCTCCCCCCCAGCGACACCGTTGATCTGATCTGCCGCTGGCAACTTTGGTAACGGAGCAGCCACACCAAGCCAATAACCAACAGCGGGGCTGTCAAACTCCTTTTTTGTCGCGGGCCGCTGTGGAGTGACGTCTTCCCTCAGAGGGCCGTTGCTCAACTATTTGTTTGTTGACTTGTTGTGAGTCGAAACGGACGAACAAAATGATTGATGATGATCTTTATGACACACGACAATTTGACATTTCACGACAGATTTTAGAAAGGATGATGGAAGTTGCCACCCATGATCTGCTTTCGCGGGCCACATAAAATGATGCGGCGGGCCAATCAGATCAGAACACTCCAAAAACATCGAAGTCATTTCATTTCAGCGGTGGAATTGACTGAAGGACGGTGGACCGTTTTGGGCAGGGCTGGCCAACATCCTGAGGAGATGTCGTCCATGTTCCATCAAGTAGAACTCAAAACGGTAGAGTAGCGCAAATTCTCAGAATGTTGTTTTGCGATGGAAAGCCTTGTCACCGGACTTTAGTTTCTCATCCGCGGGCCGCCGATGAAGCTGGCTGACGGTGGGCACGCGCCTTCTCGGGTTTCAGGTTCCAGCGAGCGAGGGGAAGGTCCGGTCGCCAAGGCGACGCCCGAGCCCTTCCGTCTTTCAGTGCAGGTGACAAGAGAATAGGGGCGTGTGCTCGGCCAAGCCACTTGAGCTCGGGCCACTGTCATCGGAGGCGCTTTGCATCGCCGCTCGCTTTGCGTCATCGGCGCAGGCCGGCGCTGCGGCCGCTCAATGTTTGTTTTGGGACGGGGCAGCAGCTGCTGCCTCTCTTTGCTCAATCTCGCGTGGACCGTTGCAGGTGGAATCGCATCCGTCAGAAATACAGCCCCTTCCCATACGGAGTGAGTATCTGCGATACCTTGGCTTTGTAAGAGGCTTACTCCTTAAAAAGAAGAAAAGAACAAGACCTGCAAAAGTTTAATCTGGTTTTAAAATGTGTTTATTTAATTGCAAAATGTGGAAGGAGTTGGTTCCATAATCATGTTCTTGATAGAAAATAGACGCACTCGGCCCAACGGTGAACGCTCGATTTCGACTAAAAGGACCAGCAGACTGAATGGAGCAACTTTGACAAAAAGCACCAAGTGATGTACATTTGTTTACATGAACACCTTTTTTTTTTTCCCCTTAATATTTCAAATGGGTCCGTTTGACCTTCCACTTGTGCTTTTGTAGTCCTCAAGATGAAGAAAAACCTTTATTTGTCTCCCAACTCGGACTTGTTGGGACTGTCCTGGAAAAGAGGTCATTCCAAATTTCCCGGAAGAGCCCTGCGTGCCAATCGTTTTTTTTTTTTGTTGTTTTTTTTGCCATGCAGGAAATTGGGCCGTAGGGACGGGGAGGGTTGTTTCCTTTATAATGCTGCGCTTTCCACAGGAATGTCATCGCACAGCGTGCACCCCCCCAAAAAAAAGACAAACATGGCAACCCCCACAAACATCGCAAAAAAAAAAAACAATGAAAAAAATTGATTTTCAAGACACTAAGAACAAAATACTAGACAAAGCTGAAAAAATACAAACATACGAGGAAAAAATAAACTGGGTGAAGATAAGGACAAGTTTGATATTTAAGTAGATGGTGGGGGGATGGATGAATGAAATAAGCAATCTTTTAGATGAGAAACAAAATACAAAAGTAGACTTCGCTCACGATCCAACTAGCTGTGGCTTGTTTAAAAGTTGACCTGCAGTATTGCGCCGGCGAGCATGCAAAGCTCGATGTTGAAGTGAGACCTTGATGTTGCCCCCCCACAGCCCCCTGTGAGACCTTCGCATTTGGGAATGGCCAAGGCTGTCAAATCCGAGATCCGAGTACCATCCCGTTCTCTCCCTCCCGCCTATCATGGAACAAATCATCTGGCTTCCACTTTAATGGGACCCCCCCCACCACCACCACCACCTTCTTTCCATCCTGCGCTTCCCCTCTTCAGGGGCCACTCCAATGCCTCTTCATCGCCATGAAAAGTGAATGAATGAGGATTGCGGAGCTGAATAAGAATGTCTTTGACACGAATGCCACGCGGTGTCTGATTTAATGGAGGCCCAAAGGGACTCACTCCTAAACTCGATCGTGGCGTCGGAGCGTTGGAAGCCGGATTTAGCCGCCAGGTTTCCAGATTAGCCAGCTCCATATCCCCGGCGGCTTAATGGCGTCGAAGCCACTTAATGGGGCCCGCTTGCAGCCGCCGTCGCCTCAGTCCAGTGAGTCCACGGCGCGATTCAAGCGCTGCAGCGCCACCTGGCGACGGCCCCTCCTGCTTCATTCAGCCCAGCGTATTATTGAGCGCATGCGCCAATGGAGCGGTGAAACAATGTCGCCAAATTGCTTCTCAAGGCTCCTCGTTGGCACTTTTTTGTTTCAATTTGACCCTGTCTTGGTTATAAACGTATTGTTTATTGCTGTGCGTATATGATCTTTGCTCCATGTACGGCATTTTGTCAACAGCGGTGGTTGTTTTCAAGTGCTCGAGAAATACACTTGAGTTGCGATGAGAATTAAAGTTCGCGCTCCTGCCTCCAGGGGTCAGTGTTGTCTAAAAAAAGTCAAGGAGAAACGGTCGCGTCCACTGGTTCCGTTCTCCCGTCCCAGCTCGAGTCGACTCAGTTTCAAGACTTCACAAAACCTAAAAGTTAATAGTATCGCGTGCAAATTAAGATCTTGCAGTGATGAATGTCATTAGGTAGACCTACTCACGTGGCCACTTCTGCTTTTCAACCAAACTTTTTTTTTTTTAACTATTCAATTTTTTTTTTGAACATATACCACCCCCCCCTACAATCTGTGACTGAAAAAAACCCCACCAATGTTTGCCCCCTGACTCACGCGTCATGCTTAAACCAGTGTTAGCATTTACCTGAGTTCTCTGTAAAAATTCTTTCTGGCGCACTTTTTCCTGTTTGCCTCCAATAAACCTGCGATTGCAACTTTTTATTGGGGGGGCACGGGCTGCCGCGCCGCACCGCGAGAGTAGTCGGCACTTTTGGCCAGGCTTTTCTGAGCGAGGAAAGGTGCCGCTCAAGTTCGGAGAGACGTGTGTTTTGTTTACGTCACATCTGAGATCAAAACGAGTCATTCAGGTTTGAGGGCACGCGTGTGAGGGAGCCGACGATTGAATCCGTCTACTTTGCTTTCTTGTTCCATGAATTCGGGTGAGTTTTGCACCTTTGCTCACTTTCGATGTCCTCGGTTTGACCGCGGCAGTTTTTGGCTCAGAATATGCTCGAGCGCTTCACGTGTCGTCGCTCGAAATACCGACACCGAAGAGGACGTGCGTTTTTGGTGAGCATTCCAGATAATGGTGGAGTCTAAAAGCCAATGTGAAGTTTGTGTTTGTCTGAAGACACAGCAAACCCAACTCGTGATTGATCATGTCAGTCTTCGCTGAAGTGACGACACATTTTTGTCAAGGTTGAAGACAATTTAGAATCTTCAATCTACCGACCGTGCGTGTTTTCAGGATCATCGAAGACATCTTCAATCAAGGCAGCACACTGTTCGTATTTGGGCCGATTAAGAAGTTGATTTAGCCTACAACTAAGCTAACTCGATGGTTTGCGAACTCGAGTCGGCCGAAGAAGCCCGAGGTTGCTTTGGAGAGCGCCCCGTTTGTCATCCGAGCTCATGTCGCTCGTCGCAAACAACAACGATGTTTTGGAGTCGAGAACGTAGCCTGTCGGTTCAGCATTTTTTGAAAATGGCTTCTAATGTTTAGTTTGCGATTAATCTCGTGTTTTTCAATCACTTTGACCTGCATGCTTTCCTAACCACGAAGGACATTTTGATGTCTTGCGCGAACTTCACCTCGGTGATTTGGCAAGCGTTGAGGAAGACTCGGCGTTCCGCGAACTTGACTGCGTTGCGGTAAAGACGGGTGGCTCAGCTCCTGCCAGAAGTTGAGCCCGACCTGACCCGGCGGCCTTTGAGCATGAGGCTGGCTCGAGCCCCCCCACTTTGGCATCCCAAAGAGGAGCCCACTTCCCCTTTTAGTCTGCACTTTGCTCGCTTTGTCACTTGACATCGTTGTCTAAACTTAGCTGTGTCAACACCCCCCGCCTCCCCCACTGCGCTGCGCTGCGGGCTCTGCTCTGCCGCCCCGCTGCTCTTTTGGGCTGGCCGCCGTTTGTGGGGACGCCAGCGTGAGGCTGACGGGTAAGGTGGACCTGCTTGAAATGGGGAACTTGCGCCGCTGGAGCTCGGAATGCTCCTCAGCATAACGAGGAACGGCATTGAAGGACCGGACGGCGCCTTTGCCGAAGGAAGTTACACGCGTCACTTAGCTTTATTACAGCGCGGTCTTTGATATCGGGTGTTGATCACATCACCGAGTTCCTCACATCTGTCATCGACATCACTAACTGGATTTGCGTTTTCATTTTGTCTCCAGGGTGCGTGGCATTCCGGACTTGATGCCGCTGCTGTTGTTCATGGTGCTGGTGCGGGACTCGACTGAGTGCGCTGGGCGGCGACCATGGCTCACACGGTGCACGTGAACAGCAACGGTCCAGGTAAGCCCCTTCACCACGCCGCATCGCGTCAGGTTGTGGCACAACGCCAAAAGCGTCGACTGGTTCGTTGTGATGGTTCCACCGGCTGAGTCGCCATTTTCGAGGCCTCCAAGTGTCTGGAACCTCGCCAGTTTTTCCAAGTGTGTGTGTGTGTGTGTGTGTGTGTGTGTGTGTGTGTGTGTGTGTGTGTGTGTGTGTGTCCTGCTGTAAATGTAGCGCATTCCACAAGTGCTCAATAGGCTGCAAGGCAAGGGCCATCTCATTTTTCACAGAAGAAAATTGGCCGGACCGATGTACGAAAAAGTCTCTTCACCCTCACGTTGTGTCCATTTGGAGCGCAGCAAATTGGTGTTCCCGATTCAAAATGACCATTGCACCGAGAGTCCCCATCAAAAGGGAATTCTTGCAAACGATCACGACTTTGTTTTGATTGATGTTGAACACAACATCCCAAGTTCGTTGGAATTGGGTTTGCATGTTTTTGGCTTTTTTTTGTCCCAAAAAGAAAGATCTGTTGTGTTCCCCGTCCAAAATGAACTGCACACAAAGGAAACGATCCCCAACTGCACTTGACATCTTCCCAGTATTCCAAAAATGGAAGCAGTCTCCGGGATGTGTTTTTCTCGGCCTTGTGTCTGATGATTGTCCCCCCCAATGCTCGCTTCTTGGGGGGAGCGGCCCCTCCTCACGCGAGTCGGAGGGGAAGAATCTGGCCAATTGCGTCCATCTTTGGTACCGTTTGCTTCTCTCGGTTCTTTTCATCCATCCATCCGTTCACTAGCGTTTATCCGGGGTGGCGTCGCGGGGCCAACGGCTGTAGCGGGGAAGGCTTGACTCCCCCACCCCTCCGGCCTTCACGTCTTCCCATGAAAATGTTCCCATGTCCCGGGGCGTCCCGGGGGCCTCCTGCATATGTGGGGAGGCCTCCTAATCAGATGCCCGAGCCGCCTCATCTGGCTCCTCTCGATGCGGAGGAGAAGCCCCTTGACTCGGAGCTCCTCACCTTCTCTCCAAGGGAGAGCCCAGACACCCCGCGGAGGAAACTCATTTGGGCCGCTCGGAGCCGGGATCTTTCTCGCTCTTTCGTTCACAGCCCACGACTCGTAGGTGAGGGCGGGAACGTCGATGGACCGGTAAATCGAGAGCTTGGCCTTTTGGCTCAGCTCCTTCTTCACCGCAGCGGTCCGCCCGGCCCTCTCCCGCTCCTTCCCGCCCCGCTTCGCGAACGAGACCCCGAGATACTCCTCCACTTGGGGCAAGATCTCGTCCCCGTCCCCGAGAGGACACTCCACCCTTTTCCAACTGAGCGCCGCGGTTTCCCAACCGCTTCGCACTCGGCTGTGAACCGCTCCGGTGAGTCTTAGAAGATCCCGGTTTGAAGAAGCCAACGGCACCACATCATCTGCAAAAAAAAAACCAAACAATTAAAAAAAAAAAAGCAGGGAAGCAATGCGCCATCTAGACCTCCCCCAGTCATAATCCCGACTTTCTAATTTCCCCAGTGTGGGACAAATAAAGGATATCTTAATCTTCTAATGATATTTCTGTTGGACATTGGATCTATCGGGCGGGCGGCTCGTTCTTGTCCAAGTCCAAATCCTCTGAGCGATCTTGGCAGGAATTTAGTGTGCGTCGTCGGTGTTGGATTTCCACGCTTTGGTGCGAAACGAAGGGCCAGTGCCTGAGACACCTGCAGACGGCTCCGCATTCCTGGCCGGACGAACGGGTGAGAGAGCGAGCCGTCTGGCCAATCCCCGCAGGAATGCGCAGCGCCTCGGGCAGATGATTTCAGACGCCGGGCTCGTTTGCAGCCGACTTGATCAAACGCCCCCGTTCTTGAAGAACGCCAATACGACGGACAGATGTGAGTGCCGAAGGCGATGGACGCACATTCAGTTTTGGGCAGGCGACATTTAAGCCCAGCAAAAAACGTCCATGCTGCAATGTGAGACCAATGCCAAGAGTGGGCAATGGCGCGCTCTCCTCGTTTGGATTTGATTCGGATTCAGAGGCCTGCCATTGGATTGCACGCCATCGATTGAGCTGCCCCGTCGTAAATAAGATTGTCTCGAGTCATTGTTTTTTTTTTTTTTGGATTGCCAAAGTGTATGGCTTGCCTTCAAAATATCTTCCCAGACATTCTTTGGGCTTGAAAGTAGGATTTCAAATCAAGCACTACGCTGATGCCTTTGCGATGGTCCGCCGGTCTGTGCCGAGCACGACTGTGGTTGATTGCCAAATAGACATTGAGGTCTCTTTGCCAACGGGCGCACTGTCACTTTGAAGCCGTCAGTCACGCCTTTGCCCCATCCCAGCTGGGTTACCGGAAGGCGCTTTTCTTTGGAGTCAGACAGTCCTCCATGAAGCGTCTCCAGTGGGTCCAAAATGCCGCCGCTCGCCTCCTGGCCGCTACTCGTAAGAGGGGGCACATCACTTCTACTTTGGCATCCCTTCACCGGCTACATTTTCGAGTTCTTTGGAAGACGTACAGCATTTTGTATACAGCGGTGGTTGTTTTAAAGCGCTCTAGAAGTAGAACTGAGTTTTGAGTTCACTTGAGATTTGCTTTTGTGACATTGCCTGTGGCGTAACCCGGCCTCCGCTCGACTTGTTTTCCTTGACCATTTATGAGAATAGTGTCGTCGCCATCGTTGTTGGATTTGGCGGCGACGCGTCCGCCTGGGACCCCGGGGGAGAATCCGCCGGTTGCTCGGCTTTGCTCAGTTTGTTTGCCAGCCCGCTCGAGAAAACTGTACGGCATGCGTGGACTCGTGTTGCTTTGGGGAAGCGGGGTTTCCTGCCTTTTTACGGGGACGGCTCTCTCGCCGTTCAAACGCCGTTTTCCCCCGGAGAAGAATGAAGCATATCAAATGTGTAGCGCAGCCAGGAAATACCAAGCAAGCGTGTGCAAGGGTGGACGTGTGCATGTGTGTCCAGAGTGCCCCTCCACCCACTTGCGTGGCGTTTTCCAGGCCAATGCTCGTTCCAGTTTGACGGAGAATCACCCCAGGAGTTTCTGCCCTTCTCTGCTCAGAGCCGCCACGGACGCCGACGTGTCGCTCGCAGCGAGAAATTGGTCAGGGCTGAGTGCCGCGCGACACTGGCGGGATTCGGGTTTGCTTGCTGGACGGCAGGCGACGGTGGCAAGCCGCTTCTTTTTTCTTCTTTCCTTTTCATCCAAATGACGGCGTAGCTATCAAACTACCGCTTGCCGTGAAGTGAGCCGAGTCCCCTGCCACTCGAGGGCGCTCATATCGCAAGGCGACGCTCACTCATCAAAAGCCCAAAATTGGGCGACCGGCTCCTCGTGTCTTGGAGAAACGTACGGTACGTTGGATCGCTGGCATTTGAAGGCATGGCTGCATTTGTCAAGCATTGAAAAGGAGTTTTCCCATCACGTCGCCGCTAACTTAGCAGTTTGCTGCTCGACGTCACCGCCGTTGAGCTTTGCGCTTGACGCTGAGGTCGCGGCGAGACATCTCGGCGGGACTCGGGCGCTCGTCCGCTCCAACAATGACACACTGCGGCGATTGTTGTTGCTCATTGATGGACTCGTGGGTGACTTGAATGAAGAGTTGGGGAAGCGGGGGTCCTTCCATTTTGAGGCCCGGATTGGTGGAGGTGGGGGACTGGAGTCACAGGACTGACCGTGACCTCTAACCTGGGCTTCCTCTTCGGGGTGGAGGAAAAAAAAAAAACAAACCAACCTGAAAATCTGAAGCTTTCCAAGCTTTCTGCGGATGGCGGCTTGTGCTGGAAGGCATTTTTTCCCCCTTTTGCACTGTTTTATAATATTGCTTTATTTCCATCTCGTATTTTGTCATCTGAATGATTTTTTTTAACATTTAATCTTGGAATTCATAAAGAGTTGAATCGTTTGGTAGTTAATAATTGTGTGCTCTTTAGATAATGTCGGGTATTTTTTCCACCCACTATTTGTGTATTGACGAATCCCTTTTCCCTGTAAGTTTGCAATGTTTTTATTTTTTCATCTACTTTTTTTGTTATGTTTTAGCGAGCCTTTGTGATTTTTTTTTTCTCGTCTTTTGTCTGTTTCTAATATCGTTTTATTCTTATTTTTTAAATATTTCTGCTTTCACTTTCCAAATGTTGCATTCTTTTAATTGTTTTCAACTCCTCTTTTCTACTATTTGTTCCTTTTTTTCGGTCTAATTTTGGTGTGTGTCGTTCCCTCCCCCCTCTAAATAATATTCGGTGTTTTCAAACTCCCCCCCCCCCCCCTTCCACCTTCAACACGTCCACCCCTCCTGTACCCC